CAGGGAAGGAGGGGGAAATGCAGGGGAAGGGGAAGCAAAGGAAAGGAGGAGGCAAAGGGAAAAGCAGAGAAAGGAGAAAGGGAAAGGGAGGAGGAGTGAAGGGAAAAGGAAAAAGAACAGTAAAAAAAGGGAAGGGCAGGAAAATAAAGGAGAGAGGGGAATGAAGAGGAGAAGGCAAAGTGTGTGGGGGAAGACAGGAAATAAGGGGAAAAGGACAGGGAAAATGGAGGGGAGAAGAGGAAAAGAAAAAAGGAGAATGGGACAGAAAAAGAAGCCAGGAAAGGACAGAGAAAAAAAAGGAAAATGCAGGCTACTAAATTGGCAGCTGCAGCGCGTTTGCAGCCCTGGGACGCGCTGTGACAGGGTTCCTGTGGATGGGCACCGTTCAGGCGAGGCAGCTGCACGCTCGGAAACGGCCCGTCCCCAGCGCGACGCCTCCGCGACCTGCGCCCATCTGCGCCGCCAAGGCTCCCCCGGCAGCGCGGCGCTCCCCGGCTGTCCAGCACCGGCTGCAATATGGAGAGGAAACGAAGCCCGGGCTGAGATCCAGCGTGCAGCCAGGCTCTAGTGATACGTGGCTTTCTGTGAGCAGGAGGGCCCCGGGACCTCCTGAATTCTTTTTCATTATTTTCCTTCTTCATAACAACTTTCCTCCATTTTCTACACTAGACCCTCGCAACAGGCTATCTTGCCCTCCGATTCCCACCTCATCCAACTTGCATCCAACTATCAGTACTTCAGCAGTACTGCCGCTGGTGCCGCGGCTGAAAGGCAAGCGGCAACGGAGCGCGCTGGCCCCGCTTGCCTGTTTTGGACTAACCTGTTTGAAGCAGCAAACCTCTGCAGAGTTTAGCCCCAGGTTAAAACTAGGGAAAAGTGAAACTTAGGTGTTTATACCCTGAATAAGATGGACTCTTCCAGCTCACATGGAAGCCATGTCTCTGAATGGAGCCACCTCAAGAAGGAAGGTCGCAGAGTCCTTTTCCGTCCCTTCCACTATGCCCAAATGTTTCACTGTTCCTATAAAAAGGGAGAAGGGGCTGTTTGCCTTGCTGTGTCTTTCTTGCACTTCCCGAGATTGAGAGTTACCAGGACAACAAAGAAGAAGGGTAGGAGGGAAGTGCGTAGATGGAGCTCTCCAGGGGTAACCTCTCCAGTGCCCTCCCACGGGAACAGATTGGAAAGCAGCAGCAATTCTAGGGAAGGCCACACATCGGTTTCAACCAAAATGTGCTGAAAACACCACACTTTCAAGGGGTAACCTTCCATGCATGCTAGCAGTGCTCTGTGAAAGTATGTGGCTCCAAATGGCAGCCGTACAAATATTTTTAACAAAAAACAAACAAACAAACAAACAAACAAAAAAGAAGGCATAGTATAAGAAGTGGCCATTGCTGTAGCAAAGTGTGAGGAAGCCATGGGGAGCTAGGATGGGATGCTAATATGTATCACGTTTTTCATGCTCGAGATACCCTGCAATGAGGCCTTTTGTAGAAGACAGGCTATTCTGGGCTTAAAGATGAAAAGCATTTTGTGAGGGGGGAACTCTTTTCTTAAAATAAAGACAGGAAACAAAAGGAACAAGCAAGATCACAGCAACATCCAGGGCTGGATGCAGAATATTGCTTCTCCCTAGTGAATGAGAATGGTGAAGTGGGCTGCAGAACTGGCTTAAAAACTATGAGATTTTAAAGCATGACAGTTCAGAACTGTTCTCTTCTCTTTCTGCAGTTCGATTCCTATTTTCAGTTATTTTCCACCACAAAAACTACAACTAGTCCTAGTTTTTAAATACAAAAATGATTTCTCAAAAAAGCTAAAAAACAAACAAAGACGAAGACCCACAGGGTTAAGAACCAGAAGACCAGCAACACTAATTTCTGACAGCCCTTCAGTCGTTCTAGTATCTGCTCTTAAAACTAGGATGTTGCAGTAGGCTTATAGAAATGGATCACTAATTACTAATAATTTGAAACGGCAGCCAAGTTAAATAGTTAAACAGGAATGAATGAAGGTTCTTGCTGGCTGGCTAAAAAGCTCTGGAGAGAAGAAACGTTCTCTTTGCTTGTTTAGACCTCCAGCACAGCAACAGAGCTGTCCTGGGCTCGACAGCTTCTCCCTGCCGTGCATAAAAGGAATTGGGGAATGCTCAAGGATGCTGTTCCCTGCTTCTAGCAAAACACATCTTCAGATTATGTATATTTTTTCAGTGTGGATAAACTTCAAGCAAGTTAGTGGCAGCTTTTAGATACATGGTTGTTTTTACTTTAGAAATTTAAGGATTATATCACAGTTTAAAAAAATATTTTAAATGTATATGCACTTGTAAAAATATAATGGCAGAATTACTTGAACTCCAAGTGAAACATTTGGATTCTCATCTTGTAAATATGAACTATGCTTACGCATAAGAATTATATAAGACCAGGAATAGACACGGAAGAGGTATCTTTTGTCTACATTAGGATTACTTGTATGTATAAGAACCAATTTATATGATGCATTTGGCAGAATCTTCCTCAATACTTGTAAAGAGAGAAAAATACTGCAGTATTAAGAACATTTCCCCTTTATCCTAAAACAAGACTAAAAATGGCAATCTCTAGTCTCTAATAATGAAAAAAAAAAGCAAACCAGTTACACAGGTTATCCCTTTTTAGACATTTTCTGTTATTGCTATGTCTGTTCTATTTGACTGTTCAGATTTCTCTCAAAATCTTGAGGGAATCTGTTAAGCTCACAATCAAAATACTCCATTTCTAAGCTCTCCAGACAGAGTATTAAATTACCTGCATTCTTATTCATGTCACCAACACATGTTACTTACCACAAAAGATTAGGGATGACTACCTGTCCCTCTAGTATTTGGCTTCCTTTTAGAGTATGTATTAAAGCACATTATGAAAAGAAAATAATGCTCAAGATGCAAGTTGACTTACCTCCACTTTAAGAAGTGCACAGCCTTTTAAGAACTCTTCAATGTTACTGATGCATTCAGCTTCATTTTTAGGCTCCAGACAATACTAAAGGAACAAAATCCACCAAGATCACTACGTTATCTTCTGTATAGCCTCTACTCAGAAGGCCTGCACGAATATTGGCATGTGCGTTTTATACTGAATTAGGGAAGCTTCTTAAGGGGGTGGATGGGGGTGGCAGGCAAGCTGTCGAACCAGGAAGACAGAGCCACTGAGGAAGTGATGCATAAATCGAAATGGTCGGCATCTTGTTTTGAATGTCAACATATGACAATGTCCTAAGTGACAGTGAGAAACTGATAACTTTTAAGAATGTGCTGTCCCAAACCATTACATAAAAACAAGGGATAAGAGGCTAACAAAAGTGTTTTTGCTTTTTAAATAAAGGCTCCTATTTTACAGGGTGAAGAGGAACCTGTTTTTTTAAAATTAAAACAGCTTCTGTTTTGTGTTGCCATTTCCTATCTCTCATCATACTCTTCCGCTTTCCCCCCTTTATCACTATTTTGAACCATCTGCATATACACGTAGAAAAAACATAGTATGAGGCACTCAGATTGCTTAAATGTCTTCAATATGAATGTATTTGCTGGACTTGAGAAAAATGGCATGGATGCAAGCTTCATTTATTCCTAACCATATCCTGTTCTCCAGCAAGGTGTTTTACAGTCGGAGTTCCAAAGACTGAATAGATTTAGACCGTTGCAATTTATTTACTTACATACAGGCAAGCCACAAATCCATCTCTTCAAAAACAAGGTTATTTTTGTAACTTCTAGTAGTCCCACTGTTTCCTCCGCACTGAAGGACCTGTATAACTGGCCAAACTACTAGGGAGCGTTCAAGAGACAAAATGAAAGACTGAAGGCTGGGATCCTTCTCCACCCTCCGTTAGAATTAACTGGTAACTTAAACTAGTTGATACTCCTTGCTGAAGAAAACCATACCCTCAAATGACCAGTGCAGCATTTTACCAAAGGGTGTTCTAGCTTCAGGCTAGGAAAACGTATCTAAAAGGTTACCTTTTCTGCAGATCCCGGAAGAAGTCGATTAATGAGTTTACAGAGTACTGTTCCATCTTTCAGAGAAGTTTTCAGGAACTCCTCCGGATCCTCTACTACTTTCTTGGGAGAATTCAGAACTCCTAATGAAATAAGCCATGTTACGGTTTGCTCTTCGGGATTCATCGCTGAGAGTCCTGCCTGCAGCCACGCTGCTGTGAGCGACTGCCCAGAACCCACATCCGCGATTGCATCTTCCTGCTTCTCCTCGCGTATACAGAGCTTAAGAGTGAAACAACTTCCTTTTTTTTTTTTTTTTTTCCATTAGCCACTGAAACGCGCCAAATTTTAAGAACCAGTTACTCTAATGCAGGAAGCACCCTTGCATAATGGTATCTAGCACTTTTTTAAAAGGGTTATAATGAAAGCAAATCTGCTACACATTTTCAGCATTCCTGAAAACAAGTAGTCTATGTGGATACTTACATTGCACCAATGCCTTTCACAGTTAATTTTCTCCATCCTACAACCTAGCAAACTTGGTCTTGTGGCTATTGATACGTCCTAGTACACGGTGGTATTTACAGTACTAAATTGCATTTCACACTGAAGATTATTTGGGGGAAAACACGTCATGTAACTTTTCAATATAATCTATTTTGTGTGTGTGTGTGTGGTAAAAGTGTTTATTTAAAATCATTTCTATTTTACAATACTTGTGAGATTCCAAGATCTGATTGTGATTCTGATCACGCATGTTGAAATCTTTTTTTTTTCATTTTATATAATATATAGATCCAAAATATGCTTTTGCAAGTTTATAATCTGTCAAAGCAAATTATCTTGGGTAACTGTGAAAACTTCATAAACCAAAATTAAGTCTTTTTAATATAAAGCAGAGAATGAAAAATTCCAACTATTTTACTTATCCCATTAAAGCATCTCTATCAGCTTTCTACAGCATCCACTACATGAACAGCTTTTTGGAGTTTCTCACCCTAGTCTAGGGTAGTATTAGGCAGCACTTAATAGAGTTCAGTCATCTCACAACTTAACTGTCCTTTCACTAACACACCCAGAAAGCTACACCTTTTCTAGGCAGCTCATGACTCCCAGTAAGTTAATTAGAGCATCAGGGATAGGAGCAGTTAAATAGGAACTACAGATCCCAAATTCTCTGACATGTTCTGAATTATAAATCAGTTTGTGGGCCTGTTCCTTCAAGTAGCTTATTTGAAGACATCGGCTCTTTTCAACTGCTTAGGCTTATACTTTGAGACAAAGGGAGAAAGAGCAAAAGGAGAAGTTACACACAATAAACAAGCATGTTTTTCTGTGTCCATGCTGGATTTGGAACATACCTAAGGTTCATTTTTAATAGCTACTGGTAAGAATTCACAAATATTCTCAACTTTTGGCCAGAGGATGTGGGGAGGAGTTATGTTTTATATGAAAATAATAGCAACACTAGCAGCTGCCAGAGAGAAGGGTAACGCTGCGTGAAGCTAAATCACAGAACTCTTATTGCCACCTGGCAAAGTTCATCTTTAGCTATCCATGTGTGCACGGAACATTTACTCATTTTAGCTCTTATGAGCAGTACTACTTTGTGGAAGAGTATACTTGCAGTCTCCACTTGCATAGCTTGCCATTTCTCCCATCTGCAGGAGGCAAGCTAATTGGTAATATTGATCATATCCTGGGGATCACCAATAACAAATGGAAGAAACCCCCTCTGGTGCTCTTTATTAGAATCCACCGCGTTCTGAGGTAGAGCAAGAAAAGTACTTCAAGACAGGGAAAAATCCACACCTGCTTCATTATATTCAGTATTAGCCACCTGAACACAAAAGACTACTCTGTCCATTCCCTCCTCCAAAACAATTATCTAACCTTTTTGAAGAGCTCCAAGCCTATTCTGCATGCATCAGTCACTACTATGATTCAGTGAAAATACCTCCCACATGCTGGACACTGGATCCTGTTACCAACAGCCTGAAGGACTGACCCACAGCCATTTGCTTTCTCACACATTCACAAAGCCTCAAAAATGCTGGGTACTCTGATTACTTAAAGGCCATTTTTAACATCTTCCAGAAGAAGATAATGACCAAAAGTGATTACGTGCTAATATCTTCACCCACCCTGACTCGTAAACTCTGCAGCAGAATCATGGGTAGCAGGTAGATCACAAAGCAAGGAACAGTTTGTTTGGTCTTTCCTTGGAAAAAGTTTCTCTTATGTCAACAGTAGCTATCTGCTGGCAGGGACAAATCAAATGTATTGTCAATCACCTCTTGCGGAATCAACCTTCATCACCAAGTTACTAACAAGCTATTATTAAGGACTGTTCTGACTACATTAGAGAAAAAAGAGTGTTTTTCTACATCCAATCAGCAAAGGACACTGATGGCATATAGAATGTAACAGGAGAGACTTAGACTAACTTTAGAATAAACATTCTACATTCTGCGCAAAGACAAATTTGCTTCTGAACTAGAGACTTTCAAGAATGTAACGAGACATTGCATAGGCTACTGGGAATGCAGCACTAAGATAACATATTTACCATTTTAGGCTGACATTTTTTAATACAATAGCTCATGTGCTGGGATTACATTTTAGACAAAATGATCTGCTGCAGCGTGAACAGCAGCAGCAAGATTACTAACTACTGCTGAAAAGGTGTCTTTTAACAGGACAGCATAATACATGTTCTTCAAGAAATCAAGTCACGCTAAGACTGCCTCGTAACAGCAAACTGCCAATACCATATAATTATAGTGATATTTTCTACCATGTAAGTGTAGCTAAGCAGCAGATTTTTTTAAACAAGTCGATGATACTTTTGTTTAACAATAAATTTATTAGCTCTTGGAATTAACGCAGTTCTGCCCATCTGCTTGATGCACACAGGTAGACTCACTCCTAGAGTATGCGGTCTGTAACGGAAGCTCAAAGTGATATTCTTATCCCAAACCCAAAGGCAGTTTTAAATCCTTTATGTAAGAAGCGAGAAGAAACCTTTTTTAAGCTAATCCTTGTAGACTACATGTTCTTTAAATGAAATCATTTTATTTCTACTGCACAAGAAGTCGATATAAACTTTATTGGCTACTACTGTGCAAGAATTTCCATCAGTCAAAAGTTAGGTTTCTACGTGAAAAAAGTGATGGTTACTCTCATATATATTTGCATATCAACACATATGAGGGCATAAAAGTACCAAAACACCTTGTTTCTATGGAATTGTGCATGTGTAAGAGGAGGCACTGCTGGCTGAAATTTTTTAAGGATGTCGTCGTGGGGATTTATCACAAATGAAGTCTCATCAACACTTCCTTCCTCTCACCAAAAAGGTTTGGACAATTATGCCACCGCTAATGTAAGAACGCCAGACAATTCTTAACAGTCTCTTTCTTTGTGAAGGATACAATTTTCTTTTGTATTTTGAAGGGCTCAAACTCACTTTTATGCAACACTCCTTTTTCAGCATACGGGTAAAGCACTTTATGTGAAGAGTAAGGCTGGAATGTTCCTCTGCTGCCTGATCCACTGACACACAGATTGTGCATGGAAATAATAATAATAAAAAAAGGTTTACTCTTGATTCTTTGAAGAGGTTAGCTACAGTAACTGGTTTCCACTTAGGTAAGAGCTTCTTCATTCAAGAGATCAGTAGCACTACTTTCACATGCAATTCCTGAACGAAATACACCACTATAAAACAAATACTGGTCAACACCGTATTCAAAGCCCAGTTTTTATCAGTTGTGTTTTGTTATCCTTCCAACACATATCCACTGCTTCACTGCCTTCTTCTTGTCACTGTAACTGAAAAAAGAAAAGTCAAGTTAGTTCACTCTCAGAAACCAGCAGACAGTCAAAAAGGCTAATTATCTTTGGGTTGATCAGTTATATTTTACAGACATAATGCATATATTTGAAATATATATGAAAATACTTTAATACCTAACTACAACAACCAAAATGGTCTGAAGTTTACTTGTATTAATATTGTATGACAGTGACTCCAGAGTGAGCAAATAAAGGTTCTGAAATTCCAGTGTACATTCTGTCAAAACTGCCCATCCCACTGGCACTCAACCTTTTCAGGATGATATCCAGAAATCCATAACATAACATACACACATCTGTAAATAATGATGTGTTGAGACTTGAAATATAAATGCAATTTTTATTAACTTATAATTAAGAAAAGGCAAATAGCTTACTGAATTAGTACAACATTCTTCTATTTAGAAGGACAGTATTAGCTTTCCTGCTATGTAGTCAGTTAAATATACATTGTCACCACTCCTGTTAGAAAATTCAGAATTGTCTGTAAGCTGCAAAGCAGGCTAAGGAATTGTGATTTTATCTTGAATATCTCTATTAAATACCACATAGTCTATTAAGTACTAGTCTATAGTAAAACAAATCTGATTTTCTAAGAGAGAGGCTCTTTCACTTGCCAAGGAAAATTTTTCTTCTGCTTCCCAGATGACACAGGGAATTGAGAGTTACTGTGGGACACACATATCCAAAAGTTGAAAATATTCTGACAAAATCTTAAGGGTGATTTGGCAAAACCAAGTCACCATGGATGCAGCATATTAAAGACAATACCTCCCAGTTTTATTAGAGGATTAATTACCTGGGCCAGCCTCAAAATGTGGATTTTAGAGTTTACTAGTTCTTGGAAAAGGAAAAAAAGTTTACTTATAAACACATTTCTCTAATCAAGCACAGTGTCATACTACTGAGATCTTTTTTTTTTAAATGAAACCAGATTGCTGTATAGATGCTCTATACAGCATCTTTAGAAAGATGCTGTAGATCAAACTGCATCTTTTCTGGTAGCTTTTATGATTTTAATTCACAGTAATGGTTAAGAAGAATATGTAGGCACTTTTGTTGAAATTTTATCAATGGTGACAGAAAGTGGAAAGTTGGCCAGGCAGAATTTTTTTCAATGGATTTAGTTCTGTGCTTCCTCTAGCTCTTAGCAAAAAAATACACAAGGTGCTCCTGTTGTTTTCATAGGTAAAATCCACAACCCTGAAATAAATGCATACCTTTTCCTCTATATCCTCTACAAAGTAACAGGAGTAATTTGTCAAGAATCCTCTGACAAGAATACTGCAGATATTTAGTTGATGAGGATTTAAATAAAAAAAAATCTAAAAT